GGGAGAGGGCGGGGGAAGGGGGGGAGGGGGGGGGTCCGTCGGGGCCGCCCCGGACCGGCCCCGCCCCGCAGCGCGCCCGGGCCTCGCAGCGCGCGCGGAGGGGGCGGCGGGCGGCGCTTCAGCACCGCGCGGGCGGACAGCGGTGGGGGCGGGGCCTGGCCGTCACTCAGAGCCGCGGCCAATCGCAAAGTTCAATTGCTGCCGTCCCGCATTGGCCGCCGGGCAGCTGCGCTGCCTATTGGCGGGCTGCGAGCCAATAAAGGGCGGGGGCGTGGCCACAGCCCCCGCGGGTCCGTCCAGAGCGCAGCCACTCGTGACCGAGCCGTGGGTGGGTCCCCGCTGGGACCGGCGGCCCCCGGGGCCGCGGCCGCCGCACCCCCGACGGCCCGTCCTGTGGGCCTGGGTCACCCGGTGGCCCCCGTTGCCGTTTGTCTCCCCGGTGCCTGGACGGCGCGTGTCGGGACCGTGGGTTCCTGGCGCCCCCGGGAACCCGGGCCGTGGGTGCGGGCGCGGCGGAGCGCGGGCCGAGGCTGCGGGTCAGGGACGTTCTCCGCCTGCTCGCGCTGCACGAGGTCGCGCCGGGGCTCGGCGGCCGCCGCGCCCGGAAGCGGCGGGTTTCTTCCAGTCAGGCCGCCGCGCCCGCGGGTCCTGCCCTGCGCCGGTGCTGTCCCGGCCGAGAGCCTTGACGGGTGAGGAGCCCTGGACAGTCTCCCTCGCCTCAAGGGTGGCCCTGGCGGCGTGGCAGAGCGCCGCTGAACCGACGGCCTCGGCCTCGGCCCCACCGCCCGGATGTCCTCCCACGGGGATCTTTTGTAGGGAGGAAAGTGCGGGAGAGTTTAACCCGCCGTCCAGGGGAGAGACCTTCCGGCCTCGCTGAACCCTTTAGGTCTCGGTGGCAACGGGGCTGTGGCCCGGCCCCCGCTTCGGCAGCGCGGGACCGGCGTCCGCTGGGGACGGCTGTGAGCGGGCCGAGTTTTCGTTGAAGTCGAAACTGCCGGGCGCGGCCGAGCCGCCACCGCGGAGTGGGCACGCAGTCCGGCCGAAGAACGGCGAGGGCTGATCCCTGCGCAGCCTCGTAGCCCAGCCGGGGTCCGTCTGGCGGGCCGCCCCTGCTGCCGCTCGGCATCTCGGCTCGGGGCAGCCGTCGGGGGTGGCGGGCAGGCTGGGCCCAGGGTTGCCGCGACGTCCTCCGCGGAGGGGACGAGCGGCCAGGCGAGGCTGGCTCATCCTGCCCTGCCTCCATTCCTGTCGTGACCCCCCTCCCCCGGTTCTCCTCCTTCTTCCTGCACACCCGGTACTGAGGTGAACACCCTTCGGCCCAACTCTCTACAGGGACAGAGGCGACAGAGGCTTTGGAGCGCCCTGCCCCGGGGCCCCCGGCCCTCCCTCGTCGTCCTGCCCAGCCGAGGCAGCGCTGTCGGTGCTGCTGCCCCTGCGGCCACCCCCGCTCCCGGCCGCCTCCGCCGCGCCATGAAATGCTTTATCGATTAAACGATTATTCAGGCGATTTAACTAATAAAAGGCTCCATCGATCGCTTCGGAATTGCATTCCGCTACCGAGCCATCAGGCCGCCTCCGCGCCCTCCACCTCCCGCGCTACCCGCAGGGACGCCGTGACGGAGCTCCCGCAGCCTCTCGCCAATGCCCGGTCCCTGCCCTCCTGCCCCAGCCGCGGGGCAAACGGACCTTCGGAGATCTCAGCAGCCCGCCGCGCCGCCCCGACGGCCTCGCGGGGAGTTGGTCCCACCCCGCGCGCTTCTGCCTCGCGTCCCCGCTCAATTCGGCGCCCCCCTTGTCCGCGGAGCCACCGGGCTCTCCGCAGCCCCTGCCCGAGTCCCACCTGTGCGGCCGGTTCGGGATGTCGCGTAGGTTTTCTCCAGCTCCATTCCGGCTCTTCAGGATTTGGGGAAAGGGAAGCAAGAAAAAGTTTCCACGTCGTATTGCAACCTCTTCCTTTTCCCTCTTTTTTTCCCCCCTTTTCTTTTTATTGTTTTGTGTTCTTTTCTCTTTCTCTCCTTTTTTTTTTTTTAATTTCCGTTTTTCTTTTCCTTCTTTCTGTTTTTTCGTCTTTTCTTCTCTTTTTTCTTCTTTATTTTCTTTTTTCCCCCCTTCTTTCTTTTCTTTTTTTTTCCTTCTTTATTTTCTCTCTTTTTTCCTTTTTTTCTTCTTTTTTTTTTTTTGTAAGGGGCTCTCTCAGGTTGGAATAATTCAACTCTTCCGCTCCCCGCCGAGCTTTTGCAGCTGATCACTGAGCTGAAACTAAACGTTTTAGGTGGAAAAAAGCCTCTGAAGGAACCGTGAAATGATTAAGAAACTAAAGAGCTCCTCGCCATGTGAGATCATGTCCTGTTCTCTAAAACATCACAAGATGTCCCCAGACGCAGCCAAAACCCAGGAAAACTCTGACATATTCTGTAGCAGGAATCAAAGTTTGCTCGCAGCCGGCCGCCCCCCGAGCGCTCCTCCGCCCCGGCAGCGGCGGCGGCACCTGCCCGCTCTGCCTCCGCTGCCCCAACCTGTCACCAACTTTTCAGTAGACCGACTTCCCCTTCCCGGGCCGGGGGTGACGCTGCCGCCCCCGGGGCCGCGCTCCCCGCCGGGCCGGGCCGCCGCAGGGGCGGGACAGGGAGCCGTCTGCGGACGCCTGGGGGTGACGGAGAGACCCCCGCGCCCACATCGCTCCGGGCCTGCCCTCTCCTGCCCCGCGCCCCTTGACGAGGGACAGCCCCTGAACTGCGGCGGGGACCGGAGAACAGCGGCCCAGTGGAGGCACGGGGACCCGGAGCAGGATTTTCCCGGCCCGGGGGGGGCTTCACTCGGGCTTTCCCCCGTACCTCCCATTCACGTGGCGGATGCAGACCCACGGCCGCTGGTGGGGAGAGTTAAAGGGAAAAAAATTACGAGGCTTCGACCGCTCCTAGGTTTATCGGTTTATTTTTCAGCAGAACGACTGGGGTGGGGGGACGAGAAAAAACGGCCCTTCCCAAAGGCCAAAACAAATTTCAGCTCCAAGCCCGGCGGGCAGTCCCGCTTCTCGCTCCCATCAGCGCCTGCAGCCATACACCCGCGCACACTCATGGCCCGCAGCCCTTCTCCCACGGAGCCCGCCGAGACACGGAATCGATCCACTGGCGTGGTCGCAGGTGGGCTCTGCTCCGCTCCCCTGCCCCAGCTTTCCCCTCTGCCCTACGGCCACCGGCCTGCCGTGATATCGAGCAAGGGGCAGTGGGATTTGGGAATGGGGCGCACCGTCTCTGCCCGCCAGCGGAGCGGCCCCGGAGCCCCGCTCGGGGTGCTGCCGGGACTGGGGATGTGCCGGGCTTAGAGACGCGAGGCCGATGAAGGGGCTCTCTCCCCGCTGCCTCACCCGGAACAGCCTCGCCACCCCCAGCACGCCGGCCCCCGCTGAGAGCTGACATGGACACAAATCTGTTTCTAAACGCTATCATTTCTCTCCCGGCCATCCCGCCTTCAACGGAGCCGCATCCTAAGACCGGCGGCCTCGCGGGGTTCCGCGGCTGGGCCCGAGAGACCCTACGGGACCCCCGGCCGCCCGGCTCCGAAAACTGTGGCCTCCCTCTCTTTTGCTTCCCTTCCCACCAACCTTTCTTCGCTCTCATTTTCTTACACAGAAATAGCCTCGCCGGAGCTTTCCTCCAGCTTGCCCTGCAGCGCGACCTGCCGTGCCACCCGCCGCTCCACGGTAGGGGGTTCTTCCCTGGAGGAGGTGCCCCCACAGAAGCGGCGCAAATGCACGGCAGACCCCGAGCCCCTTCTCGTGCCTTCAGGTGCTCGCCTTGCCTCTCACGAGCGGCCTCGGCAATGCGAGCAGCCCAGGAGCTCCGACCTCGCGCAGGAAAAGGAACGAAAAACATTTTATTGTCCTAAAAACAGGCCGCGGGGCTCCCGCCTCCCCTTCTGCCGCCCGACACGGCCTGAGAGAGACCACAGGGAGACGGCGGCGGGGCCGCAGCGGGGCAGGCCAGGCACCACGCGTGTGCCAGCGCGGCCGTGACTGCAGAGACGTGCGAGCACCGACCCGCGTAGGCCCGCGGGCTGAGCAGCTCTGCAAGGTGCGGAGCTATGCGGGGTGGGGGAGAAGGAGCCGTCCCCAGCCACGGTGCTGCCTGCCGGGACCGCGCGGGCTACCCCCGATCCCGCTCGGCCATCCCCGCTGCCGCGCTAACGAAAACAACGCGGAGGCTCCGGCGGGGATCGGCCCTCCTAGCCCCTTGCCAACGGGGGAGGGCTGGGACCCGCTCTGCTGTCCGAGCGGTGACCTCCGGAGCGCGGCTGCGGGACCCCGCCGCGCCCTAGCACCGACCCTCGCGGTGCCGGGACCGGAGGTGGGATTTAAGGCCCGAGGCGAGAACCGGTGCCTCACGGACGCCTAGAAGAAGCCGCTGCTGTCTCCACGAAGGGGCAGAGCCTCGGGAGCAGGCAGGGTTGGGCGCTGCCAGGATCCCCTAGGACGATCCCTGGAAAATGTCTCCGCTCTCGCCAAAGCAGCATCTGAGAGGGCAGAGTCGTGCCATGGCAGAAATCCCCGGGGAAGGGGTTCTCGGGGTCAGATCACTGCAACAGTGCAGCTACAGCTGAGGGGTCCCGACCTTGGCATGTCCCGGACCACACTTCGGAGTGATGCTGTGCTTTCTGCACATGGAAGAGTAAAACGACAACGAAGAGGAAAAAAAAACCGTGGCTCAGCAGAAATCTGGGTTTGGAGTTTTCCGAGGACAGTTATTGTTGCCTGCCCTCACTGAAGAGAGGAGATCAGGAACCCGGGCCAACCTTTTGTCCTTTTATATCTGATGCGTAACGTTAGGACATGAAGGGTTGTCCTCCCACCCTACAACGCTCACGCTCGTCCTGCAACACCCGAGACTGCGAGGGGCTTGGCCTAACACACCTGTCACCCAACACACCTGGAGTGGCCGGAGCAGAGCACCTCACTTCCCCAGGTACTGGCCTGCGCTGCTCCTAAAGCTGTCTCCTCTCCCTGTATTTGAGGGGATTGGAGTGGCACAGGTTACAGGGAGCGTCCAAAGACCTGCACCACCTTCACAGTTATTTGCATTTTCTCATATTTGTGTAAAACACATCAACACCAAACACAGGAAAGAGGAAGCGCTGCTACGAATTCTACCAATTCAATCCAGTTTGGCAGCATTAGGGGAAAAGAGGGAGGAGGGAAAATGCGGCAGAGGGTGTTACTGATTTGGAAATAGCCGGTGCTCCTCTGCAGCACTACAGTCTCGTTTTTCTCCAATGTCTGTCGTTTTAAATTCTAAGTAGAGAACATCTATCAGCGATCCTGGCCGTGTGTTCCCAGAGAAAAAGTCAGTTTTGAGATGGGGATGCTAATTAGACCAAAGCAATTTAAAAGGTGTTAGGCAGTGCTCTAAAAAGTTGAGAGCACTTAGGTAGTGTACTCTAATATCCTCAGTGATCTTTAGAGAGCTGTGCACAGAAAGCAATCAGAAAAAGAGGTTTGAAAGAGGAGCTGGTCCACACGGAGGAAGTGTGCTGTCCCCTCAGACAATGATTTTGCAGCTAGACATGAATGACAGGAGATGCTGACTGTCCTGTCAGCACTCTATCCCCCTGTCCTGTCTAGTCAGTACAGAGAGAAGCCAGAGCCAAGGTGGCACAGCTGACAAAAGCAGCAGGTTTTATTTTTGAAAGAATGAGAGGAGGGCAGGAAGTGCTGAGAGACTTCCCTTTTTCAGCCAGTATTCATAACTGTTTTTCTTTCCCCTCACCTACCAGTAACTTCTGTCTCAGATGTGCTGCCAGTTGCCAGGCGTCCTTGTCGGTGTATTCCCAGGGGCCTTTCTCTGGTGTATTCCGCAGAGAGAGTCACTGCCAGCACCATGACTGGGTGAAATGCTTTGCTAAGAGACCTGCACAGAGCTTTTCTATCTAGCACTCTGAGGGCTGCTTCCCTTGCTGGCTCTTAGGACTTTTTTTCTCCAGTACACAAGCATACTGTCTCGGGCCTGCCTGGTTTTGGGTATAAACCTGCACTGAAGTGGAAGGCTAACCTAGTTTATCACAGCAATGAACAGCCCAAACCTCTTTCATCAGCCTAGCGTGGAAGGTCTCAGGGCTGCAATGAACACCTCAGTCTCCTCTCTCATTCACTTTCACTGATCTCAAATGTGGTTACTTTGATAGTTTAAAAGACACTCTTTGAAGTCAACTTTGCAGAACCTTCTGCCTGGCCAAATGCTTGCATACACAGATGAAAATGAGCCAGGATCCAATGCAGGCCAAGTCTCACCAGGTGCTGGCTTCTACCTGTTCCCGAGAGGTCTGTGAGAAGCCCCAGCGTATCCTCTGAGAGTACTGCAGGGAGGTGGTAGAGCTAGGGCCTGGTCCCCCGGGAGCACAGCAGGATGCACGGGCCATCAGAGGGCCAAGCAGATCCGGCTTCCCCGGCCTCTGCGTAGCGGCCCCTCCTTCCAAGCTGGGGAAGAGCTTGACAGAACGCATCAGCAGCAGGAGAGCTGGAGCCCTGCGGCCCTTGGGGCACCCCAGCAACTCCCCGGGAGGAAATGTGCTTGCTCGGATGTAGTGGTAGCGGTGGGATGAGCGCTGCTTGTGCGCCCAGAATGAACAGCGGAGGGAAAAGGCGCCCTGGCATCTCTGGTGTGTCTGCGGATACAGGGCAGCCGGGCCAGGGGAAGCGGGGGAGAAGGGCCAAGCTGCTGATCGCTGTGCTAGTCGGAAGGTGCCGTGGAGCGCCTGGGGACTGCACAGGTCTGGGCAGAGCGCAGAGCAGGAATTGAATCTTCGCAGCTGTAGGTCGGGAGCCTCCTGAAAAAGCACCCTTGGAGTCCACCCTCTGCCACGTGCGCGCACTTCGGAGATGGCTCTGGGCGCC